TTCCTCTTCCTCATTTTCTTCTGTCCCACCCCCCCTCCTCCTCCTCCTCCTTCGTCATCCTTAAGGAGATCTTGCGAGGGAATTTGCCATTGCAAAAACGGACCCAAACTGTCTTCCCACACCTGTCTGCAGGTACGCAAGCACGCACGCACGCACTCACACACTCACGCAAGCACTTCGGTATATTGTTTGTGCAAGAAGTTGTACCTCAGTGTTCAGTCCGGGGAACTTTGTTACATTTTGCAACTGTACATCTCAGACTTTCGTGATTTTTGCGCCCGCTGCGCCGAGGCTCGCGACGCGCGTTAGCTGGCGCAGCCGCCTGTGACGCTGCGATGGGCAGGCGCCCTTGGTGCTTGGGATTTGTGTACATACATGTATACATATATGAGTGTGTGTATGTATATATATGTGTGTATGTGTGTGTATATATATATATATATATATATATATATATATATATATATATATATATATATATATATATATATATATATATATATATATATATATATATATATATATATATATATGCATGTATATAGGTGTGTGTGTGTAGTTCCTGCTGCCCGAGAGACACTATCGCTTCCAGCATCGGCGGCGCCGGGCCTCCGCGCCCATAAATCCCCTTCTTACCCCTCGGTGCCCGGGCGATAAGACCGCCCTCAAAATCCTGCAAAAAAGCTTTCTCGAAAATCGCAAAGAGCCTGAAAAAGACTTTGAATTGCTTCCTCGAAAAAAGCCTCATAAATGCCTTTAAAAAGCTTCTAATATATTTTAAAAGCCTCCAAAAACCTCCCAAGGGCCTGCATCTCCGCCCGACGTGCAAGAAAAGCCGCGCGAGGTTGCCATGCGCCCCGAGGGAGCCGGAGCGCGTGCGCGCCGCTTTGTTGTCGGAGATTTAAACGCGCTAAAAACGGGCGAGTGACGCAGATGGTCTTCGGCGGGAGAGGGAGAGAGGGAGAGGAGATGGAGAGAGAGGAGAGTGGGAGGGAGGGAGTAAGACTGGGAAAAGGAGAGATAGAGAGAGGAAGGGGTTCAAGGCACGGGAAGAAGAATAAGGAAAATGACGGATGAAAGAAACGAGAGCCAGACTCAAAGAGAGCTCGAGGCGGAGAGGGAGAGGAGGCAGCGAGAGGGGAAGAGAGGCAAGGGAGCCCAGGAGGCGGAGGAGGTGTGAGGCAAGCGCAGGCACACACGCCAAGCGAAGCCAAGCGAAGCCGAACGAACGTCGAAGGCCGCGTTCACTCGGGTGACATCCGCCGCCGAACGAATTAGCGAACGTCGAACGAGATGAATGGGTTACGTGAGAACGCGGCGATCAGCTGCTTGCGCGAGATAAAGGAGGAGAAGAGGGAAGAGACAGAAGAGAGGAGAGGGGAAGATCTGATAACAGGGAGGTCGGAATTAATGCACGGAGCAACCAGGAGAGCGGGAGGGGTGGGGAGACGTCACAATTTATGTTCTTTTTACGGGATATCAATTCCGATTCAACTACGGCGCACAAAAGGGCGACTTCGCGTGATATAAATCAGTAAATGAAGGTCGTGGAGGTGTGCATGTGTGTGCCTCCGCCGCCCGCTCGCTCCCGACGCATGCCTCTCGCCGTCAATGGAGGCCGATGAATGGGGCCACTCGAAAACGAATTTGGAAATGGCGCTGTAATGATCAGAAGGACGCAAGCCACCCCCGCCGACGTCACGCTTGGACTGGCCGGACCTGTGATGGGAGGAGGGGGGGAGGGATGCAAGAGGAGGAGGAGGAAGGAGGTAGGGGGGGAAAGGGGGGAGGGGGGTTTCGACAGGGGATTACCCAGCCAATGCTGATGTTTGTACCACTGCATCTTCTCTGCCAGCCCGCCCCTCGCCCGCCGTCCCCTGTCTACCCTGCTTTCCCTGCCACCTCATCATGCTACATGTATTTCGTTCCTACCTTTGTGACTCGCTCTCCCTCCCCCTCCCCCTCCCCCTCCCCCCCTTTTATTTTTTATCTCTTTCTATTCACTTTCGTACCTTGCATTGGTGGCGAGTTCTTTCTCTCTATAGCCCTTTGTTGTCCATCCTCCTCCTCCCCCTTTCGCCCCACCCCCCCCCCCCCACCCCCACCCCCTCCCCACCTTCTCTTCCCTCCCCCGCATCCCACACGCTCTCTGGCACCATTATGTCGACCCTCTCTCTCTCTCTCTCTCTCTCTCTCCTCTCTCTCTCTCTCTCTCTCTCTCTCTCTCTCTCTCTCTCTCTCTCTCTCTCTCTCTCTCTCTCTCTCTCTCTCTCTCTCTCTCTCTGAAGAGGAGGAAGGAAGAAGGATGAAGAGGGTGGAAGGAGAAGGCGAGAAGAATGAAGGGGAGATGAGGTGGGGGGGGAGGGTGAAAGGGAAGGAGGGAGAAGAGTGGATGAAGGGGGTGGGAAAGGGAGAAGGGTGAAGGAGGGAGAAGGGTGGATGAAGGGGGGGCGGGAGGAAAGGGTGAAGGGGGGGTTAGCATATAACGGGTGTCAGAACTTGACTTCAAAAAAGGTTGAATCGGAGGAGTTGACGCTGACTTCTGCGGTCGCGTCTCGTAGCAACGTGAGGCAGGTGGACCGTGTCGCTCGCCAGCCGCACGCTTCTGGGGGAGAGGGAGAAGCAGGGAGGAAGAGGGAGAGAGGGAGAAGGAGAGGGGAAGGAGAGAGGGAGGAAGAAGGAGAGAGAGAGGGAGAGATGGAGAAGGAGAGGGGAGGGAGAGAGAGGAGAGAGGAGAGAGAGAGAGAGAGAGAGAGAGAGAGGAGAGAGAGAGAGAGAGAGAGAGGGAAGGGGAGAGAGAGGGATGGAGAGGAAGAGAGGAAAGACAGACAAATGAGGGAGTCAAGAAGAAAGGAAAAAAGGGAAATTTCCAGAGAAGGGAGACGGCGATAAGGAAAGAAAGACAGGAAAACAAACAAAGGTAGATATGAAGATAAACAGAGAAAAGAGGAGAGAGAGAGAGAGAGAGAGAGAGAGAGAGAGAGAGAGAGAGAGAGAGAGAGAGAGAGAGAGAGAGAGAGAGAGAGAAAGAGAGAGAGAGAGAGAGAGAGAGAGAGAGAGAGAGAGAGAGACAGAGACAGAGACAGAGACAGAGACAGAGAGACAGAGAGATGGACCATGAAGTCACCCCAGCCTTGAATGACTCCCAAGTCTGCTCTCTCCTGTTCTTCCCGGCATTCGGATGGAGCCGGACTCGCCTTCCCGAACAGCGTAGCAGCGTAATCCAGTAGTTAAACGGCGGTACAGTTAGCGCAGCGAGTAAACAGAGGGAGAGAAAAAAAGAGGGAGGGCGAACACGAGCGAACGAGCGAGTGTTGGAGAAGAAACCCAATGTCAGATCTCGGCGCCGCTCCAGCATCACGTAACGCGGCGCAAAAACGCTCCTTCCTCCTCCTCCTCCTCCTCCTGTTCCTACTCCTACTCCTCCTCCTACTTCTCCTCCTACTATTCCTCCTCTTCTTCTTCTTCTTCCTCCTCCTACTCTTCCTCCTACTATTCCTCCTCCTCTTCTTCCTCCTCCTCCTCCTCCTCCTCCTCCTCTACTCCTCCTCCTCAGTCCTTATCCCTCCCTCCCTCCATCTCTCCCTCTCTCTCTTTCCCTCTCTCTCTCTTTCTCTCCTTCTCCTTTTTCCTTATCCCTTTCTCCCCCCTCCTCTTCCTCTCTCCCATCCTGCGTCGGATTTAATTGCGTACTCTAAGTAAACATAAAAAAAACAAAACCCGATAAAAACAATAATCTTAAAAACCTCAAAGCAAAAGATCGGTCGAACGTGTCCAGGTTTCCCGTTGGCCTTTGGAGGTGAAGGGGGGGGGGGGGGGGGGGGAGAAGGGGGGGGGGGTAGGAGGAGGGAGGGAAGGAGGAGGGAGGGAGGGAGAAGAGGGGAAGGAGGGAGGGAGGGAGAAGAGGGGAAGGAGGAGGAGGAGGGAGGGAGGGAGGGAGAAGAGGGGAAGGAGGAGGAGGGACGGAGGGGAAGGAGGGACGTTGGTTCAGGTGAAGGAGGAGGAGGAGGAGAAAGAGGAGAAGGGAGGGAGGAGAGAGGGAGGGAGAAGAGGGGAAAGAGGAGGAGAGGAAAGAGAAGAGGGAGGAAGAAAAGGTGAAGGTGGACAAGGAGGAGGTGAAGGAGGAGGTGGAAAGGAGGAGAAGAAGGAAAAGGAGAGAAGCGGATTAGGGGAAGAAGAGAAGGAGAACGGAAAACAAAATCAGAGAAAAAGTAGAAAAATTGGCGAAAGCAGAAGAGGCAGAAGGATAATGAGGAATAATTAAGATGGAAAAGGAAAGAAAATAAGAATAACAATGACGGAGAGAAAAGAAACCAGCAAGAAATATGAAGTTAATTCTCCAAGACCTTGGAGGTAGACCGAGTGGCTGGGGGGGGAGGGGGGAGGGGGGGGGACAGGGGGGGGGGGAGGATGGAGGGAGGGAGACGAGGAGGTGGGGGGGGGGAGGGAGTCTGATCTCATAGGTCTCAGTGCTAAAAGCAAAACAAGAAAACAAACAAACGAAGGATAATGGGTTCTTTGTGGCATGGTTAGTGGCTGGGATGCTTTGCCTCGTGACTTTTATCATCATTATCATTATTATCACCATTATTCTCATTCTGTGTTTATCTTCATTATCATTATTGTGCATTGTGCATGACGGCTTTGTCTCTCTTTTTTATTCTTTGTTACTGATTTTGCGAATGAAACCTCTATGTGCTCGTAAAGGGTTCGTTCTGAACAGTTGTCGTTCAAAAATGAAAGAAATCAGACTTCTTTTTTTTTAAGATCATGTATGATTTTTTATTATTTATTCATCTTTTTTTTGTTAATCCTGCTGTATTTTTTTCCGTATTGTCTTTATTTCCGTTGTTTTTCTGTTGTTGTTGTTTTTTTTCAAAATGTGTTGACATTTGCACGATTGTCTTTGGTTTATGCGATTTAAAAAAAAAAAAGTATCCAATGAGCATTCGAGTTGAAGATTTTTTTTGACAGCCATATTGTCTCTCTCTCCCACTCAGATCGCGCCACTGGCCACCACGACGAAGGTATGAACACGATTCTTGAGTACGTTTCTAATTACTAATAACTTTGTGGGATTTTGAGCTTTGGTGCTGTATTAATCCGAGACTAACATGCTGCTCGCGGCGAGGGGGGGAGGGGAGAGGAAGGGAGAGTGAGAGCGTGTGAGAGAGAGGGGAAGGGAATGGGGGAAAAGAAGTGAGAGAGAGAGAGGAGAGAAAGAGAGAGAATGAGAGAGAGAGAGAGAGAGAGAGAGAGAGAGAGAGAGAGAGAGAGAGAGAGAGAGAGAGAGAGAGAACAGTTATTTGACTCAACATTCTGGCAAGTAACTCCGACACACTTCGCATCACCTCCAAGATGCTCGGCTAAACTCTACGGACGACAAACCCCACGTATCTCACTCCTCCACCACCTCTCCCTTTTCTCAGATCTCTTAAGGAAGACCATATTTGTAAAGGAAAAAAAAAGAAATCTCATCGACTTTATATAATCCCCGGCAAACACTAGAGTGAATTTGCAGCGTCGAGGAGCAGCATAATCATTTTCGCAATGGACGAGCGGCAAACCTTCGACTTAGCTCACGGCGTCGCCAGAGCCATCTCGCGGCCGTTCTCGGAAACAGCGCAAGGAACGAGTGAATTATGCCTCGACCACCAGGTTAATCTTTTTATTAATTGTATTAAATAGATTTCTCGGATCCCCTGTGGCAGCTGGGTCCAAAAGATATCGAACCCCGGTGAAACACTGTCAGAAATGGAGAGTCATCTACCCGCAGCGCTGTCGAATGGCGAATTTTCCGAAGTTTAAATTTCCCATGAGAGGCTTCCTGTTTTTAAACAAACGGTATTGTGTACAAAACGCCACCGTGAAGAAAAAGGAAGAGAGGAGAAATTGGCGTCCCTTTTCACGCGCTTACCGTAGCTAAAGGAAATTAGAATAAAAATAAAAATGAACATCCTCCCGCACACCTACATTTTATCATACTTACACTAACGCGCATATACTCATATACGTGAACGTACACACAAAAAATAACACACATACCCGAACACACATACATATCCCGTGCCTTGATGAGCAAGAAGAGAAGAATGTGAAAAAATACGCGAGAAAACAAACCTTCGACTTTGTGACTGTCTCTCTCTCTCTCTCTCTCTTTCTCTCTCTCTCTCTCTCTCTCTCTCTCTCTCTCTCTCTCTCTCTCTCTCTCTCTCTCGCTCTCTCTCTCTCTCTCTCTCTCTCTCTCTCTCTCTCTCTCTCTCTCTCTCTCTCTCTCTCTCTCTCTCTCTCTCTCTCTCTCTCTCTCTCTCTCTCTCTCTCTCGGCCTTCGTGGGTGCCATACTCTCGACCTCCTTGGCGGAAAACGAGAGGAAATTTTGGCCTAATGTTCTTGGCTTTTGTGAAGGAAAAACAGGATAGGAAATTTCCTTGGACTTGGAAGGCGAAGGATGCCGAGAGATTAAAATAAGCGACGTAGAGGAAGCGAAACGCAAAGGACGCAGAATGACGCAGAATAACGCAAGGGAACGCACAAGATCGCTGGTTGGTTGTTGGGTGTTTTGCTTTCGTTATTTCTTCGTTGATTTGTTGGTATTTAACGCTGTGTCTCCTGTACTGCTTGTTGCACTTGATCGGAGCGGTCGAAACGACTGGGAGAATTTTCGAAATTTGCAGCGTCATTGTGGTTTTATTGAATATTCTAATCTCCTCTTGCATTTCCTCTCTCTCTCTCTTCCTCTCTCTCTGTCTCTCTCTCTCTCTCTCTCTCTCTCTCTCTCTCTCTCTCTCTCTCTCTCTCTCTCTCTCTCTCTCTCTCTCTCTCTCTCTCTCTCTCTCTCTCTCTCTCCTCTCTCCCTCTCTCTGCATTCTTCCATTCTCGTTTCCTCTCTCTCTCTCTCTCTTTTTTTTTCTCTCTCTCTGCATTCTTCCATTCTCGTTTTCTCTCTCTCTCTCTTTCTCCTATTCTCATTTTCTCCCTCCCTCCCATTCTCTTCCCTTCGCTCTTCTCCCCCTCCCTTCCTCGGATATGTATCGTTCAGTTCGCCCTAATATGCGCACAAGCCAGGTGTGTTCCCTCCCTCCCGCCCTCCCCCCTCCCTCCCACACCTTTCCCATCCCCCTTCCCCTCACCTCGTTTCTCCCCCTCCCCCTCCCCCACCCTCCGAGCGAGTGATGGGTGTTGGGGTTGGTTCTCTGTTGCATCACTCTGACACAAGCACAGATAAAGCTGCCTTTGCAACCTGTATCTCCCCTCCCCCCTACCCCTCCCTCCCTCCCTCTCCAACCCCCCACTAAGTTCCCAGCAACCTCCCCGCTGCTCCCCTCCCCCCCGTCCCCTCCCCCTGGCCTACCACCCCCGCCTCCCTCGCTCTCGCACCTCGGCATCCACGCCCTCCCTCCCTCCCCCTTCCCCTCCCCCCCCCCTCCCTCCCTCCCTCCCTCTTTCTCTCTTGCGATTCCTCGTCCATTCTTCTTCTTTTTCTCTACTACTTCTTTTCTCATCGACACTTTTTCTATAATTTTTTTATGATTTATTGTCCTTATTCTTCTTGTTTTTTTCCTTCCTCATTTTTGTTCTTTTTTTTTCCTTTTTTCTCGTCTTTCTCTTTTCTCATTTTGACCGAAATGATCTAGAGGTTCAGTTGCCGCCGTTCCTGCTGCCTCCTAAATCTGTTGCTCTCTCTCTCTCTCTCTCTCTCTCTCTCTCTCTCTCTCTCTCTCTCTCTCTCTCTCTCTCTCTCTCTCTCTCTCTCTCTCTCTCTCTTTCTCTCTCTCTCTCCTCCCCCCCCCCCCCCCCCTGGCCGCCCTTCGCTCTCCCCTATCTGCCGCGGTTCCTGACGGGGAGGCTGTGGCACTCTCTCGCTTTCTCTCTCCGTCCGTCTCTCTTCTCTTCTCTCTCGCCCTCTTCTTGTTGTTCCTCCGCCTCCTCCTTCTTTTTTTCTCGTCCTCTTTATCTTGCTCCTCCGCCTCCTCCTCCTTCTCTTCTCACCTTATTCTTATCGCTCCTCCGCCTCCTCCTCTTCTTCTCACCCTCCTCTTTCCTCTTACCGTTTTCTCTCCCCCCCCCCCCCAGCTCGCCCAGGGTGTACAGTTACATGGAAATTAAATGGACAAGAACTATACATGCAGCCTGCAGCCTCCCGCACCCTCCCCTCCCCCCCACACCACCCCCACACCCCCACACCCCCCCGCGCCGGCCGTGTGGTGGCCCCACTTTTGTAAAAGCGCGAGTCAACGACACTGCTCGTCTCACCCGGGTACACACGCGTACACATACACACACACAAACACACATACACACACTCGCACACACGCGGACGCACGCACACGCTCGCTCGTGATTGTCCTACACGCATACGCCGTAGGAATGCGCGTACAGTCGTGTGTACATTACCACATACACCGGAATGAACTCACACATGCGCTCACAGAAATTTTAGATGGAAATTATATGCATATTTACCTGCTCGCACACACTCAAAAAGATATAAAAGCGAGCATATAAGCGCCTTGTCGTCACCTACATACGCAACATGATATGCGCTTGGACCACATAAGATCGAGGGCCCCAGAACGCCCGCCTATGGGACCTCGGAAGGAAAGGTGCTATAGAGGTCATTTTGCAGGGCGTTGGCAGGTGTGCTTGGCCTCTGCGGTCTCCAGGGACACTCAGCGCGCGGGCGGACGGGGGGGAGGGGGGGATTGAATCGGGCCGACTTGACAAGGTTGTCTGTTCTGCAAGCCTGTGCACGTTGCAAGCCGTTGCAATGCGCTTTGGCTTGTTTCCGGGTGCGGGCGCTTGTATACGCTTGTGTTTGTCAGCGATGTGCGTGTCATTACGGGCGTAGGTAAGCCTCACACGCACACACAAGCCTTTCCTCCGTCCTCCTCTTCCACGTTCTGTCCCCTCTCTCTTTTCCCTACCCCAATCCTCTTCTTCCTTCTCTTCCCTTTCTCATTCCTTTCTCCTATTTTTATTCCCATTATCTCTCTCTCACCTTCCTTCCTTCTCCTCCTCCTTCTCAAAATTCCCCCCCCTTCCATCCTTCTATCCCTTCTCCTCTCTCTTCCTCCCTCTCTCTCCCTCCCTCTCCCTCTTATTCCTCTCATTGACAGTTATCTGCGTGTGACGTAACCCCCCACCCCCCCACCTCCCCCCTCGCCTGGTCCCGACGCGTCACGAAATCATCACTGGACGCGTGAGCTCCGTCACTCTGTCCTCTCGCTCGCTCTTTTTTTCCCTTTTCTCTCTTTTCGTAACATTTTGTTGCTGTTTTTTTTTAATGTATTTCTTGCTTTCTCTCCGTCTTTCTTATGCGTTATGTATTTATCTATCTATCTGCCTATCTATCTATCTATCTCAATAACACATACACACACACACACACACGCACACGCACACACACACACAAACACACACACACACACACACATACACACACACATACACACAAACACACACACACACTCACACTCACACACACACACACACACACACACACACACACACACACACACACACACACACACACACACACACACACACACACACACATACACACATTACACACATACACACACACACGCATACTCACACACATACACGCACGCACGCACGCACGCACACATACATGGAGGCGACCAAATTACCATAAATGATGCTGCTGTGACCACGAGCTGACAGATCGGACAGTGTCAAGCCATGGTCATCCCTTCTCCCTTCTCTTCCCTCTTCCCTTCTTCCCTCATTCTATTTTTTTGTTTGTTTTTTTGTCGTATATATTTTTTTCCTCTTTTTTTCCTATCGTATTTATCTTTTTTTTTCTCCTCCTTTCTCTACTTCTTTCTCCTATGTTTTCTCTTTCCTTTCTTTCTGTATTTCTTTTATTCCTTCTTTACTCTTCCTCTTCCTCTCTCCTTCCTCCCACTTTTCTTCCCCGACAGCAGTTATTACATCCCCATTCCATAGCAGCCCCGATGGTCATCTCTGCTATGTTATTTAACGAAAACGTGTGAGGAGGGAGTGGG